TTTATCTGGAACTTGGAAACCCTTTTTTGCTGACTATAAGAAGCAAACAAATATATTTTAATTGTAATTCTTGTAAACATATATTTTTAAGTAACTGTAACATAGCTATTGTAAATTAAGTGTTATTTATTTATTATGATAACGCTTTAAAGGATAAACAATTAGTTAACTAACATAGTCAACATATGTGTGTACCAACCTATCCAATATAAAAACTCACAGTTCCATCCCCACGCCCAATGGCTTATGTTGCCGGGGGTTATCTAATAATAATAAAAAAAATTTGTATATTTTACACTGTAATTTAAAATTAAATTGGAATTATATTCCATTAGGTATATAAAGTATATTATTAAGTAATCTTAATATTAATATATTATTAATTTTAGAAAAATTGACATGCAAAGAACAATTTTGTATTGGAATATTCAAATTGTACTAATTAATAATTTAGTTTTTGTTGTATTAATCATAAGTTAAATATAAAATTTTATTTAATTATATTTAATACAAAATTTACTCAAATACATATATGTATAATATATGTCTATATACAATTTAGTTTTAGTAATTATTCTGAATTAGGCATTGTATATGGTATAAATAATCAAATTGAAATTTTGAATTTAATTTTGAATTTTGGTAGAAATCTTAAAATTTTTGATGGTAAACAAATTTATACAATTTTTTGTTAACGAAAGTGCTTAAATCAGTTACCTATATTTCTTAAAAATAGTTAAAATTATTATTATACTTTTTCTAAATGTCAATAACTAATAAGTAAATATAGGTACTGCCATACTATATTTTCTGTGCAACCAAGTTAAATAAAATATTATTAAGATAACAAACAATTAATGCATCTCATGACAAAATCTAATCTTCTATTTTGGTCATATTATAATTAATAATAACATAATAATACAATCTAACAATTTATAATTTACTGTAACATATTTAAGAGAAAAAAAAAAGGGACTCCCCCCTGCCATTGACTCGTGACTCGTACATGTAAATGTTGTGTTTTTACAATATGGTTAAGAAAAACAAATTTTATCATACGATACAAGGATTTTCTAAAAAATTTTTGACACGTCAATTATTAAACTTAATTTTCAATTTACTAATATCTTGATTTTTTTTTTCTTAACAGTATTTTCTAACCAACCATGATTGAAAAATACCTTGTACATTGCCATTTGACAGTATCTACAGTACTCCCAAAAGATATTTTTCAAACTTAAAAAGTGAAAACTTATCTTAGTTCAACTATACAGTAATGTATTTAGGAAATATTTACTATAAAAATGATAACCCAACTATATTTTAAATTTGTATGGTATTTAGAATAGGCTAAATGGGCTGTTATGTATGTCTATTCATTGAGACATACCCCTCAATGTGGATGCAATTATTAATAAATAGCACTCAGGCCTAGGCGATTAGATGTTGTTTAGTAACCTCACTATAACATTTTATTTAAATACAATAAATAGTTAAAAGTCCATAAGTTCTCATGTGTTTTTATAATACTTAAACATACATTTTATATTGTTGCAATCATGAATAACTAGCTGTAGGTACCTATATATGTCAGCAATTTAATAGTTTACTAGTGAACTGCTTACATAACTAGTTAGTTAATCATGGTTTTATTATAATTACAAAGTTTATGATACAAATATATAGGTACCTATTATATAAAATAATTAAAAACTCAAAAATTTTACATGGACTTATAAATATGATCATATATATCTATTTAATAAAGAGTTATAATTATTGTGAGGTGTGGGGGGCAAAGCTTTTAGCTTGACAAATTTAATATTTTATAAATTTTGAACTACAAATTATTAATAATTGTGTTTTTTGACATTTGAACTTTAAATGTTTATAAAAAATAATCATGCCTATGTATTGTTAATAGTTTGAAATGGGCATAGTAAAAACTTATGAGGAACCGCTTGTATTATATTTTTAAGCTTTTTGACCAAACGAATAATTTTGTATTGACATTTTAAGAAAAAAAACTAAAATTAATCAATTATATTTTACAATCCAAGCGAAGACAATCTAACTAAGGTTACCAAACAATTTTTAAAAATTTTTATTTATTTATTTTTGTTTTTCTTGATTACCTACTTTAAAAAGTACTGAGAATTTTGAATTTTAACATTCTAAAAGTACCAATTAGATAAAATTTGCTCCCAAAAACCTCCATCGAAGTTTATGACCAGCTAGAGCATTTTTTCTACAAGATGTGCATATATATATATTTAAAATATATTCTGGTTTCTCAAGCAATAGCTAATAAGCACCCCCTAAATATAGTATGATAAATATTATAATATGAATATAATAATGCCACTTGTTAGCAAAAACAATATTTTAAAATCATCAAAAAAAATAATGAAGACTAGTCACCATTGAAAGTAACTGTGACTTAGATACTGATTACCAAGCCACACGTGAGGTCATCCTAGATAAACTAATATAATAATCTAAAGTATATGATGGTTAGGTACTAAATAAGTTAAATATGTATTATGTATACGGATGGTCGATGGAGTTCTATTATTCCTTAAAACACTACCTAAATAACATAATACTTGATGAAGCAAATGCCTGCAAGATTTTTTATTTATTATAGATTACTTATTAACTACAGGTGTTTTAATAAGGCTTTTTCTTGTAGATTTTTTATTCAACTAGGCTTTTTTATTCAATCAATATTACCATAGTTTAGAAAAATATTTAATGACAAGGGTGTGTATAACCTAAAAAAATAGCCTAGTTGAATAAAAAATCTATAAAAAAAACCCTAGTAAAACACATGTAGGTAGTTAATAAATAATAATCTATTTTAAATAAAAAGCTATATTTTATAAAAAAAACAATATTAAATAAAAAACTAAATAGACAACTGTATTTAATAAAAAAATAATCTAAGTAAATGGAAAAAGTGGCTTTTAGACCAAAAAGCCAGATAAAACTGAAGTAATTTGGTTTGATAGATTTTCATTTTTAAAACGGATTATGATTAATCAATTATAATCGGTTTTACTAGGATTGAATAAAGGCGATTTTTAATATTCCGAATATTGTTGGTTTCATGATGAATAATATAATTAAAAAATATCATATTTCTATGTATAGATATCACAGCTGAAAAAAATTAGATACCTATACAAAATCGCCTCTATAATAACATAAGTAATAAACTTGTTAATTAATTAAAATTAGTTTTAAAAATTTAATTCCGTCAAATCGAATTCCTTTAGTTTTGTCTGTTTTTTTGGTAAAACAGGCACTTTTTGTAAATCGAAAGGTAGGTAATATTATTGTCATTTGTCAATGCCTGCGAGAACGTAAGTTAATTGACGGCGATATAAATGACGACCGACCTACTGGGCGGTATTTTGCGGGCCTACTGTTATAATTCAAGATATTTCTAGATATTTCTAATATTGACCGAAAACGATTACAGATTAGACTCACACAGTCACACAAACTTATGTGCGTTTACTTTAAACACACTTACAAGTCACAAGTCACTTTAATGTCATAAATTGCATATATTAATTTGAAATTTCCTTAAAACACAACCAACTGCAGCCCTCATAGTCCACTATAATTTCAGCGATGTATGGTCGTATGGAAGCCACAGGCCCACTGCATTCTAACCAAGGGCATACGCAGGAATTTGTCAAGGGGAGGGCAAAATATTTTCCTGTTTACATTTTTTGTCTCACTATCCTATTAGTTATAAAACATTTTTGTGACAAGTTTTCCTTTCATATAGACATTAGACAAGGAATGTAAAAATATTTATGAATTAAACGTACATAGTTAAGCCTTAATCTTACAGCATATAATTTTAATTAATTGTTATGTAATTTTAAATTATCAAATACATTATTGTTTAATAAATAAAATGTTACCGTTGATTTTATAATTTTAGGTAATTTATTGTAGGTCTAAAATATTTCCAAATATTACGCGATACACGTTTTATAACATAATTACATTGAATTTTTTGAAAATTTTAAGGCCATTTTTTGAATTTAAAGATTTTTGTAACATTTTAAAGTTTTTTCTAAATTTAAATTTAAAATTTTATTTTTAAATTTGCACATGTTTTTACATGATTTTTATGATAAATATATGATCTCAAGTCTAAACCTATAGGTATAGAAAAAAAAATTAATTTTCATATTAAATGAGTAGTCTAAATGATAATTTCTGTGTGTAAAACTTTTATACAATCATTTAAAAGTTTAAATTGTATTCCTATTAGAATTTATATAATAAAATAAAAATAATTTAGTGCAGTATTAAGAATTGTTAGGGCATTTTTAAGTTTTCTTAGAACATTAAAATCATCAATAATAGTATATGTTAATCAACCCAGAAAAAGTCAATAGGGGGGAGGGGAACTGCCCCTACTTCCCCCCCCCCTGTGGACGCCTTTGGTCCTGACTATTCGGCGGTCCACTATAATTTTATAATAATTGAAAATAGTATTATTACGATTTATTATAATATACGAAGCCGTCAATGTGGTGTGTTTAGGCAACCCATTGTACACGTCATTCTTATCAATGGCCAACTTCACCCTCCTACATTTTCTTTGGAAATTGAGAATATCTCTGCATTGATGTTTGTATCATCATGTTTGTATCATTCATGTAAATTATGATTAAAAATTTAAATTGTGTATTTTTCAATACAGATAACTTTGCCATTACAGTGTAATTTGTCGTTTAATTTATTGCGTTATAAATTTGATCTAGGATTTAAGTACGATCATAATAATATTATTACTTTGCAGTCATATCACACAATGCATATTTTTTGTATAACCCTAAATTAGTAAACTACCCTAGGCATAATGGATATGCTCATACGTGTACAACTGTGTACAGCTGAGGATATATCTAACGTATAAATGCATCAAGTGTGTGGATTTATATGACGTACAGCCTGCTGAATTGAAAACTATGGAGAAAGGCAATCAAATAACATTTGGTTCTGATGAAATTCAAATATATAAACCTACTGCTGTGGTAAGTTTAAAATTCACACAAGTACACAACTTTGTTTGTATTATAATAGTAAACAATTCAAAAACTATATTTGTTAATGTAAAATCACAATATTTTTACTATAGGTACACAGTAGGATTGAAAATTTCTTAAAGAGAAAGAGAGATGAAAACCATGAAAGAAATACCAGATTGTATTGTAACTCAATATCTAACAGAAATTATTCTAGTGCTTCTAGAACATGTAATACAATAGAAGCTAAACGTCAGAAGGGATCTGAATGCTTTGTAAAAAGTACAGCATTTTTATATCATTTTTATTTGATACTTATAAATTAAATTATTTATATTTCTTCAGAGACGAAAGTGAATAATAATTTAGGACCACTGAATAATGGCGGTTTGGATCTAGCTAGCTTAAACAGTTACAATTTATCAAATAATTCAAATTCTGTTGGATTAAAACCAGATGTGCAAGAAAGAATATCAAACATAGAAACAGTATTAAATATTAAAAGTGATGGTCGAAGCAACATTGATATTTATGATAAACTAAAATCATTAGAAGATCATGTATTAAAACTAGAAAATATTTTATTAAATATCAATGAAAATTACTCGTTATCAAATACATTTTCCATTGATAAAGATACGGGAACTATACGGCACAATTTAAAGACCAATGATCTTATTAGACAAGTAAATGTATTATTATATTTTATTGATTAAATAGTGTTTTTTAGATACATGTTGACATATTTTATTTTGATATTGTATTTGAAAATGGTAGTTATTGGGTAGGCTAGTTCTTTGTTATATTTGAACATGAGATACTAAATGATGTGACCTTATATAAGGTTTAGCTGTATTCAGAAGTAAATTTAATGTTGGTATGCATGCACAATAGTTTTAAAGACAGACCATTTAACTGTATACTCTATATGTTGACATAATTCTCGCAATGCTGCTCTTATGTACAGTTCCTGTCCATTTGTAAATTTTGACGGTCCCATCTATTCTTTATTGTCCATGCATAGCACGGACTAATATTCACTTAAATTACTAAATAGTAAATACCAACAATAAATGGCACACATAGAAGATGCAAGAATTAAAATTATTTTCTTAGTAAAATCACGAAAAATTTTTTTACACATCACTTCATAATGATTTATATTTATTTTTCAGAAAAAACTTGCCTGTGAAGATAATATGATAAGAAAAGAAATAAAACCAAGGGTATTACCAAAGAAATCGGTAAGTTATCTACTGTTTTATAAATACCAATAATTTCAATGAGTTTATAATACATATTATATGGTATTAAATAATCTTAATGTGGTATAAATCATAACATTACCAAATTTAATATCAAAATATAAATAAAATAAACATTTAACATTCTCACAAGTTTAATAATTTTTCATAGTACTGTAGCTTAAATTAATTGAGCCCGGGTACAAATTCAAACCATTAATCTATACATAAGGTAACAAAATGTAAAAAAAAACCCTGGGAAAGTCGCTCTGCTGTGCAGTAGGTGTCGACTGTCAAGTGTATCTCATAATTGAGAAGTTACTCCATCTAAAAATAAATAAATTTAGCTGTTGGGTCAAAAAGCTTGAAAATATTATACAATGCTTCTCACACATTGTTACAAGAACAGTTTAAAAATATTAAAACTACATAGACATGATTTTTAATTATAAACATTTAAAGTTTACACTTTGAAAAAATGTATCAAATTGTTTAGTAGTTAAAAATGTATGGAATGTTCAATTTTTATAGCTAAGGATTGTAAATTTAAAACAAGGTAGTAGGTAGTTAGTAGTTCACACTGTAACCAAAACATCTAAAAAAAATATTGGCGAAATTAGATATTTAAACAATGAATAACAATTTTAGTTGTTTTGTTGTAATTTAAAAATATTATTCCTGGCCTCAAGGCTCAAGGTACCTACTTGAATTATTATTAAATTTTTTACACACAATAACCTTTTCAAATGCAATTTCTTAAATTAAAATTAGAAGATAGTGATAGTATAATAAAGTATTTTAATCACAATTTACAATAATATCATAAAATATACTTAGTTATCAGAGACGGATTTACACAATTGCCGCCCCTAGGCAATTTTTTTTTGCCGCCCCATTAAACTTATCAACGAGAAAACGAATTTTTAAATACTCATTTAACATAAGTACTAAAAAAAAAAAATCATAAAGACTGATGAACTCAACTAAACAATAATTAATGGCAGTTATGTTAATAAATTGTTCTAATAAAATGTGTTTATAAAATATAGTGTTTATTTACCAGTAATTTAAGTAGTAAACTAATAACCAAATATGAAGTCTATCCGCCTTGAATGTTGTGTTGAAAATAATCGAATGTCTAATCAGAATAAACCTATTTTTTACTCGGCCACCCTCTATTTCATAGACTCATAGTTCCGAAGAAAAATAAACAATTATTACATAATTTTATCTTTTGGATAGAAAAAGTTTTATTTTTGTACACATAATGCATAGTACGCACCTACGAGTATATTATATAAAAATATTCACAGTAACTGGTTTATAATTAGACTATCGTTCCAATACGAATCGATCGTCACCCTTAATCCTTATTCGTATTAAGCCGCGTCCACACTAGAGCACGCACAGACCGAGCATGTGTGCTGACGACGCACAACGAACGCGAGCCGACTAGATCGGCTCGCGTTCGCCGTGCGTCAAAATCGCTCTTGCGTGCTCTAGTACACATGCTCGGTCTGTGCGTGCTCTAGTGTGGACGCGGCTTTAAATATATCATATCTGTATGTATTATGCGTGTAGTGTGTGTACTGTGTACGCCGTGCGATCAAACGAACTTATTAATAATTATTACGACTTAGCAAAAAAACAAATTAACGAAATATGTTATCCATGTTTAGTATTTAGATAATAGATCTACGTTCCGGCAGTCGTTAGATAATTTACTTGGACGTTTATTGTTTTGTATTATAAAATAAAGAAGAAATTATATTAACAAGAATATTATTATACTTCAATATTAAACATTTTTTTTCCATCCTTCAGAGTAATCACCGTACATTAGAAAATCAAAAAGAAACTTAGAGTATTCTCAATAAAATATTGACCTAAAATTGCCGCCCCTAAAAATTTGCCGCCCTAGGCAACTGCCTACTTTGCCTGACGCTAAATCCGCCACTGTTAGTTATATTATAGGCTGTCTGACCTACTTTGCTCTGAATCGTTTTTTCTATACAATGATTTTATATCATTAAATTCAAATTTAACACATCCATTACAGTAACTTCAAGACACGTAATGTACAGCAGAGCGTTACCCATTTATTTTTATATTCTGAGCGGAGCAATGAAGGTATTAATTTTACAATGATGTTTTTTTTCCAACATTTTTTTTTTAACTGTCACCACCGTTTGGAGCTTTAAAACTGCTTCAATTTTCTTCAATAGTATCTTCTTTGATGGGAAAGTGAATCTAGATGGTGCAATGGGAGGTCAACATTTAAAATTCCCAATAGTTTTCAAAAGCGCTGGGGAAAACAATATAAAAATTAAGGAAAAACGGGAATTTTTAAGCAAAATTGGTTTTTGACAAAATCAATTTTGATTTTTGGTGTTACTCTATAACAAATAACTGTAGATACATGAAATTTTCACAGGTTGTTTATATTCGCATTTTCTAAACACATTTTTTGGTTTGTTCTGAAGTGTTTACGGAAATTTTCAGTTTCAAATTTTTTAGTTTTTTGTTCTATGAATATCAATAAAATTTTATTTGTTGGGAATAAAGCTAGAAAATTTAATATAAGCCTTCTATTATATTGTTACAATGATATTTAAAAATTATTTAAAATCCAGTCACAATATTATCTTATAAGCATTTAAAGTTCAAAATAACAAAATACGTAAAAATCACAAAAAGTTAGAAATTCGTAAAAAATTTTCTTTTTGAATCTAAGATTTCAAAATGTAATACAAGATTCCTCATATATTTGTCTACAAGAAAGTCAAATAAAATTTTATAAGCATTTGTAGTTCATATTTTTACAAGGTTGCATAAAAACTAAATTTCTCGTGTAGCGATTTTTTTATGTTGTTGTAATTCAAAAACGAATAACTGTAGTTACATGAAAATTTTACTGAATGTTTATATTCTCATTTTAAATACACCATAAAATTTTAAAAATATTTTGACTCTTCTTGAGCTGTCAGTTTTCAATTTTTTTTAGTTTTTTTTTTCTAAAATATCAATAACATGTTATTTGTTGGGTCTCAAAAAGAATGAAAAATGAATACAAGGCTCCTGATATATTGTTACAATAGCATTAAAAATGCATGTGCATGTTTTTTTTTTTATAATCATTTAAAGTTCAAATTTTGACAAAATATATCAAATTTACAATTTACAATTTATTTAGTAGTTAAAATTGTATTAAATGTGGAACTCTTTATAGCTAAGGATTAAAAATTTAAAACAAAGTTCCACGTAAGTACGTTATTCGGTAACCAAAAAATATAAAAACAGTTATTTTTTTATAGTTATATTATGTTCACATTTGGACAAAATTAGTTACTTAAACAAAGAAGAACAACTTTAGTTTTGTGTTTTTTTTTTTAATATAATGGGTACTTTTAAAGTATATTATTATATACAAATATGATATAGTAAACAAATAATAATAATTTAACTTAACCGGCTACAGTTTTAATAATAACAACATAAATATAATATAAAATACCCTAGGCGGCTGACAAACCGCCTCCGCTCAGAATTGTTTTTCGTATACAATGATAATAATATGATATTATTATATCATTGAATTAAAATTTAACTCCGTCAATTACAATCACCCACTTGAAACTTACTGTACTGCAGAGCACCTTCCACTTATCTGCTTTTTTTTGTATTATATTTTTATACATTTAATTATTGTAATTTAGTATATTAAACTAACTGTAACCTGGTATAGGTGTAGTTATATACTCATATATTAAATAGTAATTAAACAAAATTAGCACTTATCTAATAAACACATCTTGTGGGTTTATTCAAAATAATTTAGGTGCTTTTTTAGGATATTTAATGCTTTTTTAATAGTTTTACAGAGCTACAAAATTTGAACTCTTATCATAAAGCATAACCATCTTTGTTTTTAGTTATGCATAAGTAATAAGAAAAATTATTTTCATTAAATCATACAAAATCACATTGATTATATTATTAATATTTATATTATATTTATATTATTAGGATGTATTTGTTAGATATGAAACCATTAACATGGATTTTAATGAACTATAAGACATTTTAAATTTTGTCATTTTTCGATTTTGTCTTTAATGATTATAGTTATTTCGTTATAATTCAAAAAATATTTACTGTAAGTACTTGAAAGTTTTTGTCATCACATATATTATTATTTTTTTATGCATAAGTTAGTATTTTGACTAATTTTAAGCTATTTATATCATAAACCTATTCACACTGTTCTACAGTACATCTATAACAAGACAAGTCAATTAGTAATAACCAGGGCTCGTAAGTTCATGCATCTGCAGGTTTTTTTTGCCACACAGGAAAACATGCTAACTGAGATACAAATCCGTTTCATAACAATAGTAATAATAATATGAAGTTTGATAGTGCATGTTTTTGCATGTTTTGGGTGTAAAGTCATATTTGGCATATAGTTGATTTTTTACAGTCGTTAGTGCATATTATTTCATAAAAATATTTTTTAGACAAATATTTGAAAAGTTTCTTCCGGTTTTTGATATCTTGTTCCAATCGTCCAATATCGCATGGTAAATTATAACGGTTTTTTTAAATTTTTTATTCAATAATTATTTAGCTAATTAATAAAAATATCGAAAATCAGGCTTCTTACGATTGTAAAAAAAGTTCTACTTTACAATTTTTATAATAGGTATTTTTACTGTAAACCACTTCAATAAGCCGTATTACTTGAATTACGAAACCATGGTTTTATGCCATATTTTGTCTACTTATGCGCCCTCTTGTTGGAAAACATGAAAAATACACTTATAAAATATATATTACTAAATTATCCCAAAATGAACCTAATATTTCATTCCAAATGTTTTCATTGCTGGTGCTGAATAAGGGTGTACACAAATTAGACAAAATTGACTACCTAATTAAAATTTATAAAGATGACAAAGCTATTTGAACTTCACAAGTATTAATTTTATTTTTTATTTTATTAATTTTGACTGTTAAATATATAAAAATTAGGAGGAATAAAATACTTTTAAAATGTATGGATTTATTCTTATTATTTTAAAATTTGGTCATGTTTTTTTTACATAATGCATATTTTGAGTGCATAATTTAAAAATGTTAATGCATATAAATGCATATTTTTGAACTTTTAAGTGCATATTTTGACAATTTTTAGTGCATGAATGCATGCTTATTTATGCATTTTTTAGTGCATGAAGTTACGAGCCCTGGTAATAACCATAGATATATACAACAACTAGATAGCCGCCTTTTTCTTGTCATCAAAGTCAGCCGCCATTTACAAAGCAGGCAATGTTTACAAAATAATATTATCATAGTATATATGTATAGATAAATATATATGTATATAAATGAATGTAAAATAAATGTAAGCATTGCCTGCTTTGTAAATGGCGGCCGATTTAAATATTGGTCACAACTGTAGTATAATGACGGCTGTCTAGTTGTTGTATAATATATATATATATATGGTAATAACAAAACTACATATTAAATGATATAATATTATAAAAATTACTTATAAATATATGTGATGTTTTTGTCAAAAACTAGATCAACTTACAATATTTCTTAAAGTAGTATAAATAATTTTAAAATATTCATAATGGAAGTGAGTTAATAGTGTTCACAGTGACTTGGAATTTAATGTATTATAATTATATATTATCACAATCAAAGTACACTCAAAATGTACTGTAATGTGTTCCATTAGCAACTATTACAGTGTTTAAATATTTAATGCATCAAATTAATATTTTGTTATGTTTCCATTCATATTTTACACTAGGACTACAAATGTATGTTCTTTGAGTTTATTAAGTCAATATATCTGGGTACAAAAAATTAAAAATTAAAACAAAATTAGTTTATTTTGTAATTTTTAAATGTCTATTAATTTTTATTTATATTTCATTCTTAAGAACTATTTTTCTACAAGTTAAATTTACAATTCAAATGTTAAAATATTAATTATTTTTCAGAAATATTCTGCCAGTGAAATACAAGAACTCATTAACAATGTCAAAAAAATTGATGAAAACAAAAAAAATTCTTGAATCAATAATTAATACATCATAAGACATTTATTTTTATCTTATTGTATAAAATCATTAAAAATATCTGGTACTTCTAATTATAGTTTGTTATTTCTTTTGTGCATAATATCGTTTAAAGGTACTATCAATATGAGTCAAGTACCACGAATCGGGAAACAAATTGTCAACATTTGAAGTAGGTTCAAAAGGTGCTACAAACAAATTAAAATAATTTAATTTAAAGACTGTAGTCAAAACTATTACTATTATTCAACTATCTTCATGACAATAATAAGTAATAGCTATGTAGAACTTTAATAAATATACTACCTTTGTTGTAAGCCAACTCCCGATTTGTTAGTGTATTTTCAAATTCAACAGTCGATGCACTTTGTCTGTTTTCTAACATCACAGGAACATGTTGCAATAAATCAATAAGAGTTTCTAGTTTTGCTCCTGGGCGTATAGTAATTGAATAAAATGAAGAACACATGCCAGAACCAAATGAAAACATTGCTATTCGTTTCCCAGCCATTTCATTGGTAGGTTTACTGTAATTCAATTTATTTAACACATCAATCACAACACACATTGCTGTTCCATTTTATGCTAAAATTGTAAAAAACAATAAAAACCCTAGTAGTGTATAATTACCTAAGCAAGTAGGAAATCAGCCCACCAAATATAGATGCTGTGTACATGTTTCCAATATTTTTGGGTAATTTTTGAGTTGGCGCAGTGAGTTTTTTAAACAGTTTTTCTGTGTCTTTTATAACACCCAATTCGGATAACATATTGACACTGATATCGGAGTTTCTAACAGGCAGTATATAATATTTCATACATTATTATTTCAATGGCAATCAAAGGTTAGTTATGCACGTTTAAAATACAATTACAATTTTCTTTTATTAAAATCAGTGTTTTTTAATGCTGAATTCAAAAATACTTTTTGCAGAAACAATTTTGTTAAAGGTATTATTGGAAAAATGTTCAAAAAATAGAAAATAAAAATTATAAAAAGTTAAAATAAAATTTGTTTTTATCTTATGAATTACCTGGGTTAGTTTTCTTCCAAAATTTTAGGCATGTCTAAATTATAAAAGGGTTAACTTTACTGTATTTGTATTACCAAATTGAGACAATATTGAAGTTATTATAACTCCCCAGTTAAGAATGTTTACAATTAAAAAAAAAAAGTTAGGTAGCTGATATTAATGATGTACAATTGTTGATTGTTCCCAATCGAAAATGAGGTTTTATTTATCTCACATTTAATGCTTACACATATTTCAACAGATTGGATTCATTATCATAACATTTAGCGTCTAACTGCACGTCGTGAAGCGTTAACCAGGTAAATGCTTTCCTCACGAGTTTACCGTAAGGAGAATGGAACACGATGGCGTCAAAGTGTTGTAATACACTCTTAGGACCTATAAAATTGTATGATTACACGTGAACAAAATTAATTTCAATCAGTAAGTAAGTAACAGCAGTAAATCTGAGTTTACACAGCCTTTAGAGAATGGATGAAAATAAAAACTGTACTAGTATTACTCTGAGTATTGGATTCGCTGTTGTTGGTGTCAGCAAATTTCTTCAAAAACCTCTTTCGGTACAGATAATAGCAGTTGTAAAGCGCCTCAAAATAACACCGGATCGACACTTTTCCGTCCACTGTAGGGTAATTTGTGCCCATGTCTCCTTTGTAAAAATCGTACGTGTCGGCCATGTGTGAAGCTCTCAATTCTGAATTTTTATTAAGTTTAGAGAATGTAAAAAAAAAAATTTTACGATTGCCAGAAAATTATATGGTTCTATCTAAAAACCTCTATCTAACACCAAGGGTGCGTTGGGTCCTAGAAGCATTGCCACTGCGCCTGCACCACCTGTTGGCCTTGCTCCACCACGAGCATATGTCGCGACGTCTGCAGCAACAACAATAGCGAGCCGTCCTACAAACAAGTGTACATAAAGTGTACATAAAGTGTACAAACAAATGTTTAAACATAATAATATGTTCCATTTGCTCCAGAGTTATGAATTCAGAACAAGGACTTAATATACTTATAAAAATTATCATTAAAGCTTAATAAAACATTAAAATGTAAGCTTTTGAGATCATGCAACAATGTTTAATTTTTATGTTAATGTTATAAGTTGGTACCATATAGACAACACAATATAACATTAATGAAAACCTCATAACTGATTTCTAAACATTTATTATTTTTTAATTGTAAATTTTTAACATTTAAATTATTCTTGATGTTAATAATAAAACAAAACTTTAAATTTGTTTCTTATTTACTGCCGTTTAATTATCCTTAAATTATAACAACATTAAATAAATGTCTTTTCTTAATAAGTATGCAAATACAGTCTTGACCCATGATTCAATGATAGAAATGATTAATAAATTCAAATTCCTTTATTATATAGTAGGTGTATACCATCCCAAGCACTGGACTCCAACCATGCTATGGAGTTGAAAAGCGCAGCAGTGCCCCCATAACAAGCATTGGTCGAATCTACGCCTTCGACATTGTTACAGTTGTCAAATAAACGCATTAACATGGATTTGATACTTTTGGATTTGTCTACCGGTGTTTCAGTTCCCACTTCGAGTCGTCCAATATTTGAATAACCTTAATTATATTTAAATATACAATATAAAATCATTAGACATATTATCTAGCATAAAAATATATATACATACTTGTTCTTGTACGGTGCATCAACAAACTTACTGCAGTTAGACACAATGAGACGACATCTTCGCGGTCTGAACAAAATGCCATGCGCTCTTGACCCAGACCGATTGTATACTTGCCTTTAGATACACCGTCGTGCAGCTCGAGGTCAGTCTGGTTTACATATGTATATGGTACTACTATCTCTAAGGCCAGTATGCCTACGTGATCAGGCCATTTACCTTGGGTGTTATCCATTATTATACTATGACTTTAAACAAAAATTTACATTTATATACAAAAAATCATTGGTACTTTTAAAGTTATAATGATAAATGAAGATGAGATTGATATGATGAAAAAATAAATAACTTACAATATTTTACTTCAAAAATATAAATATTTTACTGGTTTAATAGAGTAACTGTTAGCAAAAATAAGACAACGTTTATATAGTATCTATTGAAATTGTAAGTGTGTAATTAAAAATTTAATTATAATCAATAAACCATGTAATGGGAACTACATTATGATAATGTGAGTCAAACTGTATAAAAATGATATTTATATGCTAACTTTTTATTGTCTAACAAAATATTAATCGGAGTGTGTGAAAATCTGGCTATTGACTATTGTAATTTATATATAAATTATTTACCGTTTGAATTTCCCATTAAATATAATGATCAGTAAATTATATAAAATTACAAATTATATTATGATAATATGTATACTAATCAAAATAAATAAAATAATTAATATACGAATAAATTATACAATACATTTTTATTGCTATATTCATAAACTAACTAAATGATATAGTAAACAATAAAAATATGCTTTTATGGATAAAGTCTTAATATATTGAGACTTCAGTGCATAATATGTATTTCATATCCACCCCGACTATACTAAAACTTAAAAACTACTAATTAAAATATTAAGAATTTCTCACCTTAAAAGTTTATACCATACAATTAAATGTTGAGCACTTGAAGCCATCCATAATTGATTAATATTAATAAAATAAGGTAAAAAATAATTAAAAATTCTATTATTTATTTTAATTTTACTTATTATAGTATATTATACAAGACATATTTTATACACTGATTATTTTATTAGTAGCTTGAAATACACAGCCTCTCTGTGATAATTGATTCATAATGGTAATAATGTTAACACAATCGTCTATAAATAATAAATAAAAATAATAATAACTTTATTCTATATTGATATTTACTTAAAATAAATATTACCAATTCCATTGTGAATATTTCCAAATTGTTTTGAATTTGTTGTCTTAAGCATACTTTTTATACCTAACGGATATTGTCCCATTGTCAGAGCAAATAACTATTAAAATAATCACAATAAAATAATTTAAAATTTTTTTTTAGTTTATAATTAGTTGAGAATGTTGAAATACCTTTTTAATATTTATCCAAGTACACATAAACTCTGGAATTTTTATTGTTGATGGAAACAATTTACATTGTTCAATGAACATGTTGCCTATGTCCCAGTTTCCTGAAGTTACGATGATGGATTTTTCTTTTCCCATATTAGTGTGATCCTTATGCCAATTACAAAAATTGAAGAAAACATCATCAAATGGTGGGCTATTACTAACCATATCCTAATATTCATAAACATAAAGAGAATTTTTCAAAAAATTTTATAATAAATATATTTATACAATTATTGTTTTAGTATATATTTTTTTTTAATAATTAAAAGCTCTATTTTTTTTTAAAAAATGATGTTTGAACTCAGTGGCGTATATAGGGGGGAGGCCCCCTAGACCAGAGCTCATACTGAAATTGCAGGTTCAATTAAAGCATTTCATGTATATCGACACTGTTTACAGTTTTTCACCATGATTAATTTAGCCGGTTGATTAAAATCGTTTTTGAGTAATCAACAAAGAAATGATTGCCAGGACTTGCTTTGATGTTAAATTCACAGTTAGATAAAATTAAAATATACGAAATTGTCAATATTTTTTGAAAAGAATTAAAAAAATAATTTTACATAATTATAAAATTAAATTGAGCTATTTTTATTTGTATTGTATATTTCATAATTATAACCACCCAGCTCGCTAAAATATGTATAGTAGTGCTATGTTTGAATAGTGATAAATTGCCAAAATTGGCACATAGTGAAAATAACTTGTATATAAGTCACTGTTTAAACTAATATATAATCAAGTAAAATATAATAAATTTACTAAGATATATTTTTTTTATTGTGTCAATTGTAAACAAGTAAAATGTATGTTCTATACAATATAATATCAAGATGCATTAATCATTATATTTTTTGTATTTTTAAGTGGCTGAATTTATACTACCTGGCAAACCCTATTTAGTAGCCTACACCCCACATTAAGAATTGTAAGTCAAAGTCTAATATTTGTTACTGTTTCTAAATGTATAATATCAAAAATCTAAACCTAACATCCTTATATCAAGGTTGGCAAGAAAAAGCCCAGCCTGAAAAAACCTGGGCTGCTTTTCATATTATGTCAGTCATCAAAATGTTAAACAAAAATATAATATTTTAAGTGAAAACAAAATAACTGTACAATTTATATATTTTATGTCAGGTTGCTAACAGTCTCTTATAAATGATCCATTAAATTTTAGTCAACCAATAATTGGATCAATTTTTCCGTACAAATCAGCATAAATTAACACAAAATTAAAGTAATTATGTATGTATGGTTTCAAGTAGTAGTAGAAAAAAAAATAAATTTAGGTAATATACATAACATTATTTCTCTTTAACATCTATATGTTTTATTCTATTTATGACTTATGAGTTATGATTAAAATAACAAAATACAATTACAATATTTTATTATTTTTGGGCTTATGACAAGTTTCCCTAAAACTTTTCGTCATATCCGGCCTTATGATTTTATATAATATAAGTAATAGACTAATACATAAATAGATAATATAGTAATATAATATTAATGCAAAAATAATATGAAAGATATTATATTATTATATTATATATTTTTCATCAGTCATATTCCATATATTTTATAAAAATATGTCATAAACTGACAAAAATATAGGTTTATTGTTAATATTTGCATTATCGATGAAAATATATAGTTGTTTTAAATATATACTGTTAATAAGTAATTTGGAAAAAATTCAATTAGTAATCCTAACAAATTGAATTACAAAGCTTAATAGTAGTAACATTGTTTTTGAAATACCATACTTGTGTAATACCAGTCAACTGTGTACAATATTCTGTCAGCACTGTATGAATTATAGGTTTGACATATGAATGAAAAATTGATACTACTTCAAAACCGCCTTTGGCCGTATTAAGTTCAACTAGTATACACGGGAATTCAATTATTTCCTAAAACAAATATATTAAGAACTATTAATATGACATTACTTAGTTAAACAGTAAGTAATTGGAAAATTTAATATAATGCCTCAAAACAATTTGTTGACATAACACTCCTTATTTTTATCAACATGTATTGGATATAATATCATTGTCCTAATATATTGTAAATTATGATTTTATGATTCTCGACATAAAATTAGTAAGTATTAAACTAATTTTAATACATAATTAATATGGTAGGTATATATTTGTTTAACAATTGTATACAGGAAAAACTTCAGAAAATGTAGTGCAACAACTTTATATAATGCCATACGGAAAACCATACTATCATAGCGTTTTTTTCAAGTACAGTAATGTCAAAAAACTGATGTAAACTCCAGAGAAAACGTATGAATCAGTTCTAATCAAAATGTTTAGAAGACTAAATTAGACCATAGAAAATGAATAGGACAGTTTATAACAATTTGTAATCATTAATAATTATTACATTTAAATATCCCATTTCTAACTTTCCAAATATAAAACAGGTAAATTAGTTTTTACATTCTTATTAGTTTATTATCTATATTATATTTCATCTGTAAAATATGTTAAATTGAATTTTAAACCTTGTGAAAAATCCAGTTATAATTAAGTGATTATATCCATTTTTTTTCTTTTAACAAAATAATTATTAAGTCTAATACAATTGTTATGCTCAAAAAGTAAAAATGAACCTGAGGTTTTAGTAAATGAGCCCCATTGTCACAAGTAGCTTCAAAATCTAAGACAAAAAACTTAGTATATGGTTGTGACATGTTAGGCCTTGTAATTGATTCTGCATTTGGCTTGTCTGTTGACCGGATAAACATTGTTTTATTGAACACCAAATTGTACTTATAAAATATTTGTGGTCGGAATAATACATTAAGCTTCATCATAATTTACAAAATGTTAAATTGATATAAAAAAAACTAAAAAGATCAATTTTCAATCTCAATAACACATAATATTATTGTCTAATGTTTAAAGAATAAAGATACTCCAGACTTCCAGAGATCCAGTTGTAGTCCAGAACGTCTCCCTCTTATCAGTCATCACTTTCTGTCTTCTGATAAATTGGTAATCAGTTATCACAATACTGCATAACAATAATATTATTGTTTGTATATAATCTTAAAAATTGCTTCTCTGCAGTCTGCAGCAGTTCTAAATTCTTATAAACATTCTTCAGATATAAATCAAGTTTTAAGATTATAATATAAATAATAATTATTATTGTGTTTATACTTTTAATTATAAAATAATTATTATGTGTATCAGTAATTCTAAAACAATAATTTATTTCATGAATATTCAAGTATAGTGTAGGACGTAGATATTAGGTACTTACTCAGGATTATAATAATATAATAATTACCTATATTATAAGTTCTCTATAATCGTGTACCTATTTTAAGTTACTAACTACCTACTAAGTAATAATAATAATTTTATTATACTGCTATAAATTACAACCGTGTAAACATTTTGAATTATGCATTCATATAATTTCAAAAAATGCAATTTCAACATACCTAGTTGTTTTTTTTATTATTATTAAGAAATAGTAGGTCTTAATGTGTTATAACTTATAACTTATAACTTATAAGTTATAATATTATTACTAGCATCTGTAGTATGAATAATTATAATCGTGTAAAAGAAGAAAATTATTTTTAATTTATTTTCCTTAAACATTATTAGAAAAATAAAATGCTCTTAAAATCTGCCGGTGATCTCACGACGCGCCTCGTCGGTAGCGAAACCGCTAGCGCGACAGTGGAACAGTACCGATCAAGGAATCAAAATAGAAAACAAGTTTTACAGAACGCTCTGCATGACGAAATAATAAATAAATTGTTATTTCGTCATGTATATAATAATGTAATAAAACATTGGGCGGTATCGAAGTAACATGATATCTCACTATAGTAGCACCGACGTTTCAGACGTCGTCCGTTTTGCCTTACTATAAGCAATATATTAACGTATAATATATATGAAGATTGCTTGTTCAATTTTATTGTTGTATCAGAAGCCCGACCAGAAGATCAGGCAATTTAAAAAATTTCTTTTCTAGACTCCTTTGAGTGCTCCCCTCCACGGAAATCTTTAGTAAAAGGCGAAAGATTTTTTCGATTTGAAAGGGAACCGGAGTTAACGTTGGCTCGGCGTTCGGTTCCCTATATACAACTCGCCCGGCAGCAACTCTGTGCAGTCTCTGGTATTCGCATCACACCGTTTTCCCCGGTGTAAACTCAAATCGACTGAGCCGCCCAAGTCCGTACCACACGGGTGCAAGCTTTAGGCGTCGTCGCGACGGCCGAGCGCGAACAGCTTTGTTGGCGGTACGCCCAACACGCCCGGTGACCGCATATAAACCACGTCGGCAAACGACCGTGCCTGCAAACGCCATCTATCGACCGTCCGCCGATACAGGGGAACACCGGTGACCGGCGTCCACAACAATAATAGCGAATGAAATCCGAACGAATATCACGGCTCTCATCCATCGTAGGATTTTCCAATCCATGTCCATGATGAATTAATTAAATAAATAATTTGCTTTGACATGTCTAAGTGGATAACGAATACGGGCGTCAATATTGTATAGTAAAAGCCGATCGATCGAATTGGTTTTTTGTTGACGCATTCAAACAACGCCTGTTATGATGTTTATAACAATCAATAAATAGTAATAGAATTGGCATAATCATTTATAGTACTATGTATAATGAATGGTAATAACTAATAGTGCTTTCAAAAATGATTGTTGTTATTGTTTCTGTCCCATAAAATAATTCTAATTTCGACTAAATTTCGAGTACATCAGCATTCTCACTTGTATAAATAATATCGTCTTATTTCTCTCTTTAGCCGTTCTGTTGGTGCCGGTATAGATGTTCGTGGTTCGACGTTACACCGCACTCCTTTGATCGGGCGCACACCAATGCAGTGAAAATAAAAACTTTCTCTACCCACAGGCCACTGGCTGTCCGTTCCGTACTGCATTAATTGTACATGCTTTGGTGTCCGCCCAGCCTTAGTATTCAGCCCGAAAAATAATAATACATGTATTATAGGTGCACCGACTGCGACCGTTAGAATTCCAGAATTCCAAAACATTAATTCTTCATACCGTATTTTAGAGTCCGCACACACTGTAAAATGTTATTGGCTTGGCGATGACGTCGCGATGTGTTGACCGTGCACAATTTTATTAACCGCCGCCGCAGTATGTGCGTAACAGGACGTAATAATAATATTTGTGGGCCGTGGGCCTAGTTCGACCAGCAAAAAAAAAAAAAATACGTGTACGCAATGATATTATGAACACAGTACAGCCTGGATCACCAGATCCTGGTGGTGAATATCTTAAAAAAATTGAAACAGCTTTTTCACAATAATTCGTGAAATGCGAAAATATTGATCACTTTTTAATGAAACCGTCTCTCCAGTTTGACATTGTATAATACATCATTATAAGTTTTATTTATTGACAGTTCAGTTAAACGTTATACCATGTATTATAATTTATATAACGGTTATACTTATTAGTTATTACTTATACAGTTATACACTTATACATCATATTATTATGTAGTAGTAGTATGAATATAGTATATTTTATTTAATAATCAATTTTTTAATATTTATGAATACCATAATAAATGGTCGTATTAAATATATCTACATAAATATAAATTATTTAAACTAAGAAAAAATAAATTTTATAAGTATACCTACAGACTACAGTAATTTATTTTAATTTTCATTTATTTAAGACACGATATTAATATAGAACTAAAAAATGAATTGAAGATTGTAAAAAAGTGGATTTCAAGTAAATTTCATGACAAGTACAAATATATTTTCAAAAATTGTATCAGAAAACTTAGGATTAGGTAATACAATTTGCAAAAAATGTATTTTTTTTACCATAAAACTAAATATTCAATAGGTATTCGTGTCGCACGTAATTTATTGACTTGCGTGGAGCGCTCTGTTATTTTTTTTACACAACTAACATTCACACTCACACACACTAATGCGATCACAGTAGCCAGTAGGCAGTAGGTACTACCTGTGACTATGGAAAATGAATACATAATAGTATATGTTATGATATAATAGTATTGATATATATATAGTATTTATAAACAATGGTACTACCCACGTCCCACACATTTACACGACCAGTTTGGTAATCATCATCCACAATTACATTTAAATATTTAATAATTAATTATTTTATAGTGATATTGTATTACTTATTTTTAACATCAATTATAGTACAATATCATCTTAATCTTTAATTAATGTCAAATCCAAACTAGTGTATACATATACAATATACTATATATAATGAAATGCAAAAAAAATTAGTTATAGATAAAATCCATATAAACTGTAATCATCGGTTAATTGTAGACATTTTTAACCATCAGTATACACTACACATACAAGTATACAACGCTTGGAAATTGGCCTCTTATATTATATTCCTTATAAATGTTTAGTATCGGATTCCTAAATTGTTTGTGTAAAAGAGCTTGTAAAACCAATCGATGTGTGCTTGTTAGTTGTTTTAAAGGTATCATGAAATGTAACAGGCAACAGCTGTCGTTATAACTTAAAAGTAGCTCTTAAGAGGACGCTACACCCACATGTGTTGTCTCTGTCTAACGTCTTACAAAATAAAATATGTACAACATAGCAAAAACTGTTTTGCGCGGGATAGAACCACTCAAGCTGCAGTTAAGACTCCAAATTGATGTACAATATAAATGAAAACATTGTCTAAAATGTTGTTTTCATTTTTTTGATATCATTTGACACTTATACAAAAAAAAAAGTTCTTATTGTTTCAAAATCCATTATTTTTGTGTTTTTAAACTTTAATAACTTTTTTTGTATTTCCTATATTGAAAAAATAAAAACGATATTTCACAGTCAAAGTACTCATTTTTATGTGGTGAAAATTTTGTTTCATAGTTATGACTATTGCCTTATCGGTTCCTACTCGCACAAAATAGTTTTTGCTATAATATGTTTTACGTTAATTGTAAGACGGAGAGTTGTGGATTTAACAAGCCCGGATTAAGACATTTTGAGGCCAAGGGGCCAATGTTTTAAATGAGGCCCCTGTACGAAAAAAAAAATAATGTTTATATTATTTAATATTAGGTACCTGTCATAATAAATATATATAGACATTAGGTACATAGTAATAAATAATGAATAATGTATCATTTTATTTTTAATTTATAATTTACAAGTTTTTTTCCAGTCTAAATAATCATTGATTTTTAGATTCTGAGTGAAACGATGAATGTATTGCTTTTACAATGATGTGTGTTTTTTTTTTTAAATTTTTTTTTGTGTCTGTCATCACGTTTTAGAACAGTAAAAGTGCTTGGATTTTCTTCAACAGTAGCTTTTCTGATAGGAAAGTGAATCTAGTTGGTACTTTGGGGGGTCAAAAGTAAAAATGTCACAGTAGTTTTCACAAGCGCCGGGAAAAACAACATAAAAATTAAGGAAAAACGGGAAAACTGTTTAGGGACATTTTAATTTTCCATTTGTTTTTAATTTTTTTTTCTAAAAATATCAATAAAATTTTGTTTGTTGGTTGCGAAAGCTTGACAATTTTAATAGAAGGCTCCTAGTATATTGTTTCAAAGGCAGATGAAAAATATTAAAAATCCTTAGTCACAATTTTTTTTTAAAAGTATTTAAAGTTAAAAAATTGACAAAATATGGAAAAATCACGAAAATTAGCAAATTATTTTGAGTTAAGAATTCGTAAAAATTTTTCTTTTTAAATCTAAGATATGAAAATGTAATACAAGATTTTTTATAAGATTATCTACCTTTATCAAAAAAAAAAATGTTTATA